TTGATAAAATCTGTTTAGCAAGAAAACCATAAAATGTCATTAAAATAATGAATGAATGAATGAATAAATAATAGCCTATGTGTGTGTGTGTGTGTGTGTAACATATGATATACAAATATACAACACACCACCAAGAGTGCTGTTTTCCCAAATATCAGCACGATTGCAAATGTGACATTTATTTTATACAACAGTTCAATAAGCAAGTAGTTAATATTTAGTCACATACACAGCAGAACAGTTGCGCATCCGAGCACTCCACAGCGCTGTTTCGCTACTGAAAAATTCAGCGTTCTTGAACTAATCGGTCAATGATTCAATGACTCATTTATAAAGTGATTTGTTTAATTCTTGAATGAACCAGCAGTTTAACGAATCGGTTGAATAAATGAATAAATAGCTCACTTATTAAGACAGTCACTTGACGCTACCTAGTGGCAGTTTAGTTTCATTGCATTTGAGCAACTTTTCAACATTTCAAAAAACAATAAAAAGACAAAACAAAACAAAACAAAAAAAAAACATAAATTTTGCAGTGTAAATGCATTCACACTACCTCGGAGCTTCATTATACAGTGTAAATGCATCTAAGGGTGCGTTCACACTTGTAGTTCGGTTCTCTTGGTTCGTTTGGTCCGGACCAAAAAAAGAAAATGATACATTTGGTTCTGGTCCGCTTAGCGTTCACACTGGCATTTTTGACAGCGAACCTAAAGATGTGGTGGGGGGGTCAAAAGCAAACATCAAGGCTTGATGATGAGCACTTCAACATGTATCATGTGGCACATTTTAGTTTTATCTTGTTGTTATTTTCTTGATTCCATGGCCAAAATAATTTATTATATATTATTATTATATATAATTATTAAGTATATTATTAATATATGTAATGAACAAATCTCTATAAAAGCCACATTCCATAATTAAATATCTTGACATGCAGCATACTAAACTACTATTGGAGTTTGTGTAATAATCAAAGACAAAAACAATACCATATATTAACATGTTTTATATCTTTATTTATTTTTTACAGGATCTTTTTTCTCCCTTTATGATGTGGGAGTGACGCTTGGATCGGGACATTTTGGCATTGTGTATGAGGGGACTCGTAGGTCCGATGGCCAGAAGGTAGACCACTTTTGCTTTATTCACCAAACATTTTGCCTCTTTTTCTAGTTTTTTGTACCATTTTCTCAAATATTATGTGCTGAAAAAAAAATATATCTTTTAAAATCTACAATAAAGTGGCAAGTTGTTAGAAGTGTAATCTTTTTAAAATTGGTTTCTCACATATTTGAAAAATGTTTACACCATAAACATGTTTTTTATGTCAAATGCTGTGTAAATATAATGTAAAGCGTGTAGAATATTATCCTGAATACATTCCAGAAATTAATTCACTTGAGTGAATCATTATTCATTATTGTTTTCATTTTTGAATCATTAATATCATGACATTTTCTAGGAGTTACTCCATTTGACCTATAACAACAGACTGCCATTTATACAAACATTGGAAGCTATATCATTTTATCAATTTATTTATTCCCTTTGCAGGTTGCCATCAAATTTTTAACCAAGTCGGTGCAGGACTGCTTTATTTATATTGTAAGTGGGCAAGTTATTAGATAAGTACTATATAAGTATCTCTACTTAAATGTAATGTACAGGTGGGTCCAGAAGTCTGAGAGCATATTGAAAATCTGGAAATCTGAACCATTGAACCTGAAAATAAAGAAGAAGATTAAGATTTTAAAGTGTAAAGTAAAAGACAGTTATTATGTAAAATAAAAAATTAATATGATGTATAATTTAATAATTATATAATTGTTTAAAAATAACAATGTCTCAATCAAATAATACAAATTGAGGCATTGACCATGATTATTACTTTGTTCAAAAGGTCATATTTCACTTTTTTTCAGTCCAACTTAATTCAAATAATGTGTTTTTTGAACATTAAAGCATGTCAACATATTATGTTACACCAAATACACAAAATAATGATCTTTAAAATAGCATCATATGACCCCTTTAAATAAAATTTTGTATTCAATTAGAAATGAATGCCAAATGGAACCATTTTTCCTAGTGATCTCAGACTTATACCCTACTTTATAAACTAAATACACATTTGATAGCTAACTCTTTGCGTATCACTTTTCTCTAGCCTGGGTGTACCAGACCTCTGCTTGTGGAAGTGGCTCTAAATCTGGTGGTGCGAGAGCCTCCCAAAAGCCCCTATATTGTCCAAATGTATGAGTGGTTTGAGCAGCAATATCGGTACATCTTGATTATGGAATATCCACATCCATGTGAGACCTTGCTCAGCTTCACAATGCGGAACGGAGGTTACCTTGAAGAAACTCTGCCACGTGGCTTAAGGCACCAAGCGGTGCTTGCAGCCAAACACTGTCTTGACTGAGGTGTCTTTCACCGTGACATCAAGTCGGACAACATGCTGGTCAACACAGAGACGCTGCAGCTCAAAGTAATAGACTTTGGCTGTGGCAAACTTTTCATCACTTCTGACTATCAAGGTCAGTTGACTTTTTAGGGCAGTTAGTCCTATTTTCTCTAATGTTATCTGAAAATAGACTAATGGCTTGCAGATGACTTTAGCAAATGATGTTCAACTCTGAAAATCTCTTGCCTACATAAACAGAGTACACAGAGTGCCCAGCGGTCAAAGCTACGGTCAAGCCTTTGGGTGTTCTGCTGTTCAGAATGGTGAATGGAATCAGCTTTGTCGATGTGCAGATGATTCCCTCCTCCAGTTTATCCAGTGGTAAGAAGACAACACACAATGACAGTGACACTGTTAAACACACACAGCCTCAGCACAATCTTGAGGTGTTCTCACCAACTTCTAAAAGATAAATGACACAAGTGACTGACAGAATGTCTAAAAATTATTAGATGATATGTAAAATCTAGGTGACGAACTGAAAAGTGTAATACATAAGGATTGCCACAGTATGCTACAAATTACAAAACAGAACATACTTTCATGCATGACAACATTTACGTGCCACATGCTCATAAATAGCATACAGTACATGACTAACCAGTTCTTTCTTGAAAACTTGTACAGAATGCCGTGATCTGCTAAACCAGTACAAGTGCAACAGCCTGACTTTAGACGAGCTCTTAGAACATGAATGGTTTAGGAAGAGCTGAAGGAGGAAAGAGAATATTGCTCATGAGTCAGGTAGTGTAACACAATATTTGAAAAAAAAAAAAAAGGCAGATAATAGGAACTTTTGAAATGAGTCTCACGAAAGATCAAGCAATGCTGTCATTCAGTTTGGAAATATGTGTGGTGAGACTTTAAAATGTACGCTTATTCAAATATTTAAAATGTGAATATAATATGTATAAATATGTTGAAATTTGTACTTTAATAATAATAATAATAATAAACTAATAAAGTTTAATGAATTTCATTTAATTATAAATATATTTTCACATTGAATCTCCAAATTAATGTGGAAACAAAATAATAATAATATTTTAAAAAGTATTTTAAATACCTGTTTAATGGCATATTTTTACTACAGCTAAGTACTGTAAATGAAAGCCAGTATCACTGATACTAATACTGATGCCTCTTTTAAATTGATATTTTTTTCTAATTTCTGTGGATAAAATGATAATTATTTACAGTCATTCAACAGGCCTAAACTTAAAAACTCTATTCAATACTTTACAGTATTCATATATTCCCATTACAATAAATGTCACATTTAGCTTTTAAATAGAGTATTTGGTAATGTTTCTGTCTCTGTCAATACTCTATCAGCACTTGAATAAGAAACTTTAAAGTTTATTTTGCATACTCATATTTACTGTAAATAAGAAATACAGTGTCTAGTTGAAACATTTGGTACCAATATTTTTATGTAAGGATTGATCCTCTCAGTACAATATCAACATCTCAAGTATTCATAATTACTTCCAGACCAAACTGCAACCTGAGACGTTTTATTTAGGTGTTAAAAAATGGGTAACACTGTATTTTGTCCTTGAAATGTTACATGTACTTACTATAGTAATAATAAAAAAAATGCATAATTATATTCAGCTAACCCTAAACCAAACCCTCATCCTAATCCTAACCATATAGTACATGAAGTTAATTAATATTAATCATTACTTAAATGTAACAAGGGCACTTAAATGTAACTCTGTAACAAGGGCACCGTAAAATAGTGATGGCCGCTTTTGAAGCACTGCTTCGTGAAGCTTCGAAACCTTTGCAAATAATTTTTTTCAAAACTGTGGTTCGGGGCGCATGTCAAACTGCCAAAGTCACGTGATTTCACTAAATGAGGCTTTGTTACGTCATAACTGTTTCGAAACGTTTTGAAATTCCAATGGTTTTCCTTTGGGGGGGGGCATCTATGTGAATCTATTAATCATGCGAGTTCGTCAATACTCTATCAGCACTTGAATAAGAAACTTTAAAGTTTATTTTGCATACTCATATTTACTGTAAATAAGAAATACAGTGTCTAGTTGAAACATTTGGTACCAATATTTTTATGTAAGGATTGATCCTCTCAGTACAATATCAACATCTCAAGTATTCATAATTACTTCCAGACCAAACTGCAACCTGAGACGTTTTATTTAGGTGTTAAAAAATGGGTAACACTGTATTTTGTCCTTGAAATGTTACATGTACTTACTATAGTAATAATAAAAAAAATGCATAATTATATTCAGCTAACCCTAAACCAAACCCTCATCCTAATCCTAACCATATAGTACATGAAGTTAATTAATATTAATCATTACATAAATGTAACAAGGGCACTTAAATGTAACTCTGTAACAAGGGCACCGTAAAATAGTGATGGCCGCTTTTGAAGCACTGCTTCGTGAAGCTTCGAAACCTTTGCAAATAATTTTTTTCAAAACTGTGGTTTGGGGCGCATGTCAAACTGCCAAAGTCACGTGATTTCACTAAATGAGGCTTTGTTATGTCATAACTGTTTCGAAACGTTTTGAAATTCCAATGGTTTTCCTTTGGGGGGGGGGCATCTATGTGAATCTATTAATCATGCGAGTTCATCTCCCCCAGTGGCGAATTATTGTAATTGCATTTAATGTATTATACTTTTAGTAAAACATTTGCAATGGGTTTGTAAAATGTTTTTGTAAAATGTTTTTATGCATGTTTTGGCCTGAGTTTTTGTTGCATTTACACAGATTTGACCAGCAGGCGTCATCAGTGTGTGGTGTTTAGAGCGCTTCGAAACAGTGAATCATTTTGCGAAACAATTGGTTCAATTGATTCGAAGCTTCGAAAAGGTTTGTTTCTCCCATCACTACCGTAAAATAAAGTTTAACCAAAGAATGTAATCTGCACATTGGAATAAAAATGTTTTAAAAACATAATGACAGTACCAAAATACAACCAGGCCGAATCTTCTATTCTGTTTGAGTAAGTGTATAAACCAAAGAATGTAATCTGCACATTGGAATAAAAATGTTTTAAAAACATAATGACAGTACCAAAATACAACCAGGTTTGAGTAAGTGTATATATATATACAAAATAAAATAAACTTCTCGGGGAGAAAAATATCAGTAACACTTTAACATTAAAGCAGTTTAGTGACAGATAAAACACTGCATCCTCATCCAGTGTCAAAAGGACTTAAAGGTGATATGTGAATTCTTATGTTGAAGTTTCATTTTTTGGTGAACTATCCCTTTAACTTAGATGATAGGAAAACATATTTGTAATAAGTGGGAACAGGAAAAAGCAAGCAGATAAATAACGAGGAACACTGGGAACAAAGAATAGAAACACGAGCAGAATAGCAGCTATTACATTCAACAACTGACAAAGTAACAAGAGAAACACAAGGGCTATGTATACACAAGGGGTAACAAGCTTAACAAGGTAACTAGTTGACAAGACACACTTGGGGAGACTAATCAAGTGGAAAAAACTACAATCTGACTACAAACATGGCACAGGAAACACTTCAAAGAAAAATATCAGTAACACTTTAACATTAAAGCAGTTTAGTGACAGATAAAACACTGCATCCTCATCCAGTGTCAAAAGGACTTAAAGGTGATATGTGAATTCTTATGTTGAAGTTTCATTTTTTGGTGAACTATCCCTTTAACTTAGATGATAGGAAAACATATTTGTAATAAGTGGGAACAGGAAAAAGCAAGCAGATAAATAACGAGGAACACTGGGAACAAAGAATAGAAACACGAGCAGAATAGCAACTATTACATTCAACAACTGACAAAGTAACAAGAGAAACACAAGGGGTAACAAGCTTAACAAGGTAACTAGTTGACAAGACACACTTGGGGAGACTAATCAAGTGGAAAAAACTACAATCTGACTACAAACATGGCACAGGAAACACTTCAACATAAAAGTCCAGACTAGGGTTGTTGCCAACAATCATTTTGGTAATCGAATAATTGATTGATTATTCTGACGATTAATCCAGTAATCTGATAAATTGTTTTGTGGTAATTAAAATAGACCTAAGACAACAATAGATTTTAAAATGATTTAAAATGCATATATAATAGCAATGAGGCAATAATATTTGTTTCAAATAAAATATCAAAAAAGCAAGTATCATATGGTTTTATTGAACAAAACAATTTTAATACAACATGTAATAAAACAATATAATCATAACTTATGTACATTATGTGTTATATCAAATGCCTGCAGAGGCGCCAACGGACTGACGATTGTTTTCACACTTTACAGCGAGATCGAATCTTTGTTTAATATTGAATAAACAACATTTAATTCAAATGTCCACTTAATCTTTAATATTTTTGTCACTTCTTTATGATAGAAATGCTACAGCCACTATCATTTCTTGAACAAGAACATGTGGACATCAAAACATGCAAACTCAGAGAGAGGGTTTAAACTTTTATTTTGAAATTGCGATGAACAGTTAGCATATTTAGAAAGATAACGATGTATTCTCCTGTGTTGGCGTAGGTTTATAAATGATTTACCTTATAAATATGATAGAATGGTGCACATTGTTCCCAGATGAACGTTATTAGCAACTCTGACATGCACGTAACCTACTGTACACACACATATAAATAAAGCACATATTAAACCCACAGTGCATATATTTATTGTGAATTCTCAATAGCACTATGCTTTATAATGATTTTTAAATGGTTTTAATATTTCGTGCAGCCTTAGAAAAATGGTCTAATAATGCTTTTCATGGAATCTCATCCATCGAATGTGCCACTTTTGATATTTTGCCGGTTAATTGACACAGGCAAAATGCAATAGAGGATTTTTTGTAATCGAGTACTCAAATTTAATTGAGGAATCGTGACAGCTAAAATATTATTTTAGCTAAAGTATTAGTATCAATATATATCAATACACATTAGTATCAATATGTACCAATACACATAAGCAGTTTTATCCCAAATACAAATACAATTTAATAAATATTTCAGTTAAAAAGATGTTGATTTAATTACCTTAAACAAAACTGAAAATCATTAACAAGAACGTTGTCTCAAAATACTGTATATTTGGTCATTTTAATGATTCTCATTTGGAAAATAAATGTACAACATTTTAAAATTATATAAATAAATATTCGATCAGCACGGTCAGTTCCCTTAATGTGCATTAAATCCAAACTACTCCAAAATACTGCTTCAGAGTGGTGTTTGAGGCGAAGGGCCCTATCATATACCTGGCGCAATGCGGCACAACGGTACGACGCAAGTGTTTTTTGCTAGTTTCAGCCTGACGCACGTTGTTTAAATAGCAAATGCATTTGCACCCATTTGTGCGCCCATGGGCGTGCTAGTCTGAAAATGAGGTGTGTTCAGGCACATTGTTGGCGCATTGCTATTTTGAGGCAGCTGAAATAGACTGCGCCTTTGACCAACCTGGTCTAAAGTCAATGGCGCAATATTTTGTTTGTTAATTAAAGAAAGCATGTTAGTGATATGCGCCTATAGGCGGCTGAACAACATGCGTACACTCTGCTTATTACACTCAGGGACAAGCAGCAGTGCACAAACATGCCAAATATTAAAAATTAAAAGACTACAATGTAAAAGATTATTATTGTGCCCCGTAGATGGTCTGCTTGCACGCTTTAACCTCGCGCACGAGCAGAACCTTACCTCTTTGGAGAAGCGTTCAGTCTTTGCTCTTGCAAATTCCACTATGTAAATAGCAAATCAGCCATGGCGTGAGCACAACTGGCCTTTAAAGGGAATGGGAGATTGGTTTATAGCACGTTACGCCCAAAACACACCCATGACTCATTAAGAGAATAGGTACAACCTTTTGGACCATGCCGACCGTTTTTCCCGTCGTTAAACTAGCAAAAGTGGATTCGGACTAAGTGCACTTGCGCCGTGTGCTTTAGACCATGCGCTTAGATCGTTAAAATATGGCCCTAAGTGTATCCGATCATTCATCATGCAGCAAGTGTCTTGAAATCATGAGATGTCAAGGAAACGTTCCAGTGTAAGTAAAATTAATAGTTATTACATAATATATAGCTATAATTAATATTATAAGACCACAGGATTAAACATTAAAATAACTGGTATAGTGTATTGAAGATCAAAGTAAACAACTTATATTGCATATTACACCACAATAATTAAACTTGTTAACCATATTTGCAAAATATTGAAAATAAAAATGTGTAAATAAAGCTCTGTAAAAAAACTGTGAAAAAAAAAAAACTGTGTGTTCCATCGCAAAATCAAATGTTCTACACACACTTGTGGTCTTCACACCCACTTGAACACTTGGGTCAAATACTGAAAATATGTCATGTAAGTAGACAAATGATCAAGTGCAAAGACTGTAAGTGTGGGTATTGGGACAGGCCCAAATTTCCTGGTGCATAGTGAAACATGAATGTTCAGGAGAGTGTTGTGGTGAGGTTTTCTGTCATCTAGTGGTTAGTGGTTAAATCTGCATTTTTGCCCAATGAACCCTTATCTCCATTTTAAATAGGGTGCTATGGGCATAAAGATTTACCAGGGTAAGAGGAGGTCTTTATATTATTTTCTTCACTTGCACAATTGTATACTGTACAATTCTATACTGTATATGGAATTGAGTGTTAATCAGCCTGTTACTGAAAGCACTGTCATGCCTGAGCAGGGCATCCCATAAAAGACTCATCATATAGAAGACTATACTGCTATCCATGATATAATTCTCTCAAATTCCAAATGTTAAGTATTTTGGAATTTGAGGCCATATGTAGGCCTATTTTCATGTATCTTGTGCTGGAAAAGAGAGTGGCATTATTCATTTATAATATAAGATAAACAAGTGTGTAAACAAGTGATTGTACTTGTACTGCTGTAATGTATACTCACTTGGAGTAGGAGATTAATCACTCTGTGACGTTCTGAAGTCTGGTCCTGAGTAAGACAGAATTTACATCTTATACAGAATTTAATATCTTATTATTTATTCACCAATTTTTCAATTTAAAAATCTCACTTTATGAACTGGCATAATTGTTCAAAGATTGAACATTATTTCTTATAATATAATACCATGAAAGTATACCGTTATTTCCGTTCAAACACCAGCTAAATTTACCAGCAGCATGGCTCTTCCTCTTCCATATGATTAGTGCAGTTATTATAAGAGACACCCATATAAACATAACCAAACAGGTACTGGTAATCACGGACAAAGTTGATAATCCCAGGCCAGTTTCTTCCAGATCTAAAATAGAGAGATTAATCATTCACTGAGATTAAAAACAGAACTTCACTATATTGAAGGTGAGCCTCATAAGACTTGGCTGAATGTTTTTCTGTACCAAACATAATGTCCAGTGTGTTGTTCAGACTCGGGTGATTTATTGCACAGCTGTAATTATGTCTGCCATGTAGTTCCTTAACACTGATCAGCAAACTCTTCCTTATCTGGTAAGTTCCATCTCCATTGGGCAGAAGATTACCTCCTGTGATTTTTCCATCAACAGCAGCCTGACCATCTCTGACCAGAGTCAGGTCAATGTCGCGGGGATAAAAACCTGTCACCAGGCATGTGATTTGAACCTCATGAGATGCTGCAAGCACCTTTTTAAGGAGTCTGACTCTAGGTTTCACTTGAAAAAAGGGATAGAAAAAAAAGTGGTAACACTTTATTGTAGGGTGTCCTTGTTAAACATGTTACATATACTTACTACAGTAATAACAACAACTCATGCATAATTACATGCAACTAACACTAAACCAAACCCTCATCCTAACCTTAACCACACAGTTAGTACATGTAGTTAATCAATATTACTCAGTACTTAAATGTATAATTACACTGTAACAAGGACACCATAAAATAAAGAGTAACCAAAAATGTTTAATTAATTGCATCATTCATTAATGTATGTAACCATAATTTAAATGGCTAGATGACAAGATGATCAATTCGGCATGTCTCAAAAAAACAGAAGAAAGAAATTACATTTAGAAATTACAGGTTGGTGTCAGCCTCGTAGGAGTTTCTAAATTCTGACTCATAAAATATTTCCAAGAAAGGGGTGATTGAATATGGAGTTAATTATCATTTTATTTTATTTTTTAATTTTTTGCCAAGAAAGAGTTATAAACCTAAATTTAAGGATCAGAAAACTGTACATACTAGGTTGGTGAAATATTATAACGTTGAATATTTTAAAGATCGAATTCGATCAATGTAAGAATGGATTTTACCAAAACTGAATTCAAGATTCCTATCCTGTAATAAAACTATAAAATTCACTAATCTGAAGAGAGGATCTACGAGAAAGAGCACAGGACAACAGCTGACCCAATCTCATCTCTTCCCCCCCATGCTGAGTTCCTGACTCCTCATGTACCTACAAGCCACTTTTGTGTTCTTCTGTTCCACCTCTGTAGTACAAATTAATTTATTAATACTAATTCCATATGATTGATAACTTATTTGTCTAAACTGTCTTACTTATATACTTAATAAGACTTACACTGTCTTATTTTGCAGTGCATTTGTTCCTATACAGGCAGAAGAGGATAAGGGAGAGCACACATCCCTGAGGAGCGCCAGTGCTGATCGTGAGAGTGCTGGATGTGAGCTTATCCAGCCTCACTAGCTGCTGCCTATCTGTCAGGAAGATGTTGATCCACTGACAGATTGGGGTGGGCATGGACAGCTGGGTCAGTTTGTCTGAGAGAAGGTCAGGCATGATGGTATTGAAGGCTGAACTGAAGTCTACAAACAAGATCCTTGCGTAAGTCCATACATACTGGTAAAAAATGTATAGCCTGAATGCACTGTAAGTCGCTTTGGATAAAATCGTCTGCTGAATGCATAGATTATTAAATTATTCATTATTAATTATATTAATTATTAAAATTATTAATTATTATATAAGGGGTGTAGGTGCATGTGTGAAGTGCAGATCAGAGCGGGTGTGGGGTGTGAGACTGGGCTTTTCAAACCGGCATTAAAACACATTCAGATCGTCAGCCAGTTGTTGATTCTCCACATACTGCAGGGGTGGTGTCTTGTACTTGATGATGTTCCTCAGACCAGTCCATGCTGACACCATGTCGTTGGCTGAAAACTGTTTTTTCAGCTTTTCGGAGTAGCTTTTTTTTGCCACACTGATCTCCTTTGTTTGTCTGTTTTTGGCCTGGTTATACAAGATTTTATCCCTACTTAAGCATCCTCCTTGGCATGACGAATCTGTTTGAGTTTCCCAGTAAACCATGGTTTATCATTATTGAATGATAGGAATGTCCTGGTAGGAATGCACATATCCTCACAGAAACTGATATATGAAGTTACAGCATCTGTGAACTCGTCCAGTTTGGTGGCTGCAGCTTCAAAAACACCCCAATCAGTGCAGTCGAAGCAGGCTTGTAAATTCCGCTCTGCTTCATTAGTCCATCTTTTTACAGTCCTTAATACACGTTTAGCTGATTTCAGTTTCTTCCTGTATGTCGGTATAAGCTGAACCAAGCAGTGATGAGAGAGCCTTTAAAGCTGCCCATGGGACAGAGTGATATGCATCCTTTATTGAGGTGTAACAGTGGTCCAATATATTACTGTCTCTGGTGGGACATGTAACGTGCTGTTTTGGCAGTTCACGGGAAAGATTTGCTTTGTTAAAATCTCCCAAAATTATTAAAAGAGAGTCTGGGTATCTTTGCTCCATTTCAGTTATTTGTTCAGCCAGCTGTTGCAGCCCTGCGCTCACACACGCGTCTGGAGGAACATACACTTTCGCGAGAATGAAAGAGGAAAACTTCCGCGGCGAGTAGAAAGGTTTACAGTTTATGAAGAGTGTCTCTAAATTAGGGTAGCATATATTTTTCAGCATTGTTACATCTGAACACCAACTTTCGTTGATGAAGAAACACAATCCACCACCTCTTGTTTTCCCCGTTAAATCCAATGTGATCTGCTCTGAACAGCTGGAAGCCTGGCAGTTGAAACGCGTTGTCCGTAATGGCTTCACCCAGCAAGGTTTCAGCGAAGCACAATGCAGCAGAGCTTGAAAATTCCTTGTTGATGCAGGTGAAGAGAAGAAGTTCATCCATTTTGTTAAGAAGGGAATGGACATTTGCAAGTTCGAAAGCCACACTTGCAGAGCTTAACCAGCGCGCCGGTGTGCTTCCCTCTTCTGCGTCTGTACAGCACCGCTGCATCTCCGAATAGAATGTCCAACAAAAAGTCTGAATACCAATCAAAGACCGGAAAAATATTGTCTGGGATGTGTTGCTTAATGATAAAGAGTTTGTCTCTGGTAAAACTTCTAGAAGAAGAATGACTAAACACAGAACAAACAAACAAAGACAGCAGAAGAATTGCGGAGCTCAGCGCCGTGGCTGCCATTCGCGGCACCATCTTGATCTATCAGATTTTCAGCTTTGTCAGTGAGGTCTTCCTGTATGGATTTTATTCCTAGTCCAGTGAAAGTTTTCTGAGCACTCTTGCACACTCTACTAGGGGTGTTGCTTCTTCCCAAGCTTTGGCTAGAAGAATCCCTTTGTAGGATATTTGTGAGGTGGCACATTTTTGTCAAGCTTTATAGTCTTGATCCTGACCTGACCCCGCTTCCCAGGTTTTATCATGCTTGAAAAGGGTGTCAGTCTTTCATGTTTGTCAGTGTGTGCAATCTGTTTTTCATGGGCTGATAAACTAGCAGTTACTTCATAGTATGGCTCTATGGTATACCGTTTCCATAGGGTCAGCTACTTACATAGTGTCAAGTGACTTATGGCTTGTTACCACCAAGCGGTACGGGTCAGTATAGTACAATATGGTACGATTTGGGATACGACTTGCGTTTCCACCGCCAACAGTACCCTTACTTGATAGGCATGGTGTATGCCGGAAAGTAGAGATTGATGTCATTCTCGCGTGAAGAAGAAAGCGCAACATTAGGTGTGTTCGACTTGAAGCAGCGTTGCGCAGACAGATCAGTGTATGACATCAAAGTACAGCGAGAGCTATAGAGAGCAGACAGTTCTGCATGCTTTCGAATCGCTCTTGCGGTACTTTGATGTCATATGCCGATCTGCTGCACAGCACCACTTCAAGTCAAACACACCTCTTGACTGTGTGTATGTGTCTGAAAATATAAAATTATAAAATACATTGTTATATATTTTGTGTTTGCGCACTCTGATGTAAACAAGCCCAACATGCATGAGCAGCATGGCAGAACGAGTGAAGAAGACTCTTCATTCCCCTTGTTTTGTCATTTCCCTTGTAGCACGCGCAAGTGATGATTCTCTGTCAACCAATCAACGTTCTGCAGTGAGTCCAGCTCCACCCTTTAGGTACCGGACTACTGTGCTAGATACCCCAACGAAAGGGTCCCAAAAAAAGTGGTACGGTACGGTTTGCTATTTTGGTACCATTCACATCTTCTGACAATGGAAACGGACATAATTGCTTACCGTACTGAACCATACCGCTCAGTGGAAATGAGCCATTATAAAAAGGGAACATCTCGGTTGCATATGTAACATTGGTTCCCTGAGGATGTAGATCGCCATACTCCTCATTCCTGCTGCGAGCTTTCTTTGTGGAAAAATCTAAGGAGTGCTGCTGTAACAGGTATGGAAAGTAATGTTAATTTCATATCTAGAATTACACACAAATGTTCACGATGTATACCTGATATGCCTGTCTATGTGTGCACCTTCCCCTTTAAATTTCTGAATTTCGGGTTACTCTTAATTTCCTGTCTTTGCACCTCCTCTTCCCTTTCTGCACTGTCTCTGCATGGGAGAGGTGGGTTTCTAATGAGCTCTGATTAATCTAATTTCATCTTTGCTTTAAAAAGCACTTTTATACTTCTATACTCTGTTTAAATCCTATTTGTGACATTATTTATATGTATATTTGATTATTTCTGTATTTTCACTAAGTTTGATCAGTTTTCTGTCGATCGATGCACTTGAAGCACATGCTAATTGTGTTGCACTTTACATTAATTTAACAGAAAAGACAAGAAGGGCGAAAACACATTTTATATCATGTTTTCTGTTTTGT